TACAGCGATGATGTTCATAGGGTAGGTAGTTAAAAATAAATAAATAATCGAACTCAAATGCCTTTCAGCTTTCAAAGTCTGCAAGAATAGACAATAATAAACATCAAACGTAGGGTTAGATTACTTCCTCTCCGTTTTTTTTCGCTTAAAAACACGTTTTGTTGTGTTCGATTGACATTCGCATAGGCCACAACATTGCGAGCGCTTGTGGGTATTCAAGAATCAAGAATACGACCTTTTAGCTCCCGGGAGCAAAAGTAAACTAGCTTTCCTGGCAACGTTCCCGGGAACACTCCCTTCCCGGGCAATCAAGAATAGGGGGCCAGGGTCTTAATTCTTGAAACAGGCGAGCAGCGTTCCCAGGAGAACGAGTGCTCCGTCTTTGTTACCTATATTATAATTTGCATATCACTGAGAAACACGGAACACTCGTTCTCCTGGCAACGCTGCGGGGTGCAGAGGAGTCATTGTTAAAAATGACGATCTTGACGCGCCCAGACAGATACGATCGAAACCACTCCAGCGACGCGCCCCTAAAACCATACCTCTCCAGCTTCCACAGCAGTATTCCGTGGTCCACACAATCGAATGCTTTGGACAGATCACAGAATACCGCTGCAGCAACCTCTCCATCGTTAAGTTGGACATACAAATGTTCAAGAAAGTCAAAAATGGCATTTTTTGTACCCATTTGATCCTGAAATCCAAATTGCTTCGTGCTCATAAGGTCATGATCCCTAATAAAAGATACCATCCTTGCCTTCACCTTCACCAACCTTTTCACCACTTTAGCCAGGGCTGGCAACAATGCAATTGGGCGAAAGTTAGAGGGAGTGTCGTGGTCTCCGCCCTTATAAAGAGGCATGATTACGGCCTTCTTTAGACAAGCCGGAAATGCGCCAGAAACAAAGGAGGATTGATTTCCTCAGCCAAGGCCTGAAGCGTCCCAAACGGCAAAGCAAGAGGCACCCTCAAAGATTGCCCATCCCAACCAGGAATTCCTATATTGTTCAATATGCCGAGTATGCCGTGAACCTCAAGAGCATTGGTGAGGTAAGAAAGAAAGTTTCAGTTACTGATATATGGCTTAAATATCTCCTAGAATCAATCTTATTTGAAATGCCCTGGGATAATTTAATGGCAATAGAACAATAAAAACTATGAAAACACATGGAAGTTCTATAGATTCTAAAAATAACAACAGCTCATCACCTCATCACCCTTAGATCTAACAGATTGAATATTGAGCAATACTAGGATAAGGTTATTCCAGACTGAATTTTCTCTAAAAAAGATGTGTGAAATTCTTCAGAGTTGTGTGACTGCTCATTAATTGACAACATCGCATCCTAACTGTATTTAAAATTTCGCAACCAGATGCGTAAGCTGATCTTAGTTTAGGCTTTCGAGCTGCATCGACGCTATCAATATATAACTGGAACAGTCTACACATTGATCTTATATTATGACGAAACCTATAATTTGTTAAAACGTTATAGTAGTTAACCGAAGAGAGATATTCATTTTATGAGCAAGTGACCCTATATAATGTATAATCCTAAAATACTAACTTTTTGAGCACTTACCAAAATCACACTTTCTACAAAAAACCACATTTGTTTTCCTATCAATAGTCAAAAGATCCCTGATTTGACAGTAGTTGGGCAAAGTGCGACCCAAGTCTTTTTCTGCGTAATTTACTACCAGTGGGAAAACACCTTTGAATTTGACATATTGTGCTGTAGCGCCGTTAGCAACATATCCAAAAACCTTAAACGAGTCGCCGAGGTAGGTTAAGAGTCGAGAGGAATAGTTTTTAGCGCTACTGTTACCATATATTAGAACATTTGTTTTTTGTTGATCTCCACAGTTAAACAATATGTCCGTAGTTGCATTGCGTCTTGAATTTGTGTTGTTCATCGCTGAGTGCGATGTGGGCAAATTCAAACGCTTTTCCTCATTAGAAATTCTACTCGTTTGACACATGAGGAGATCTGGATCCGCAGTAATCCTTGCAAAATCTCCAATATGCCTTTCTTTGAGCTGTGATATTTCATTTAGATAGAGGCAATTCTCCACCTCAAGAGAACTTATTGAGGTCAGTATGGATCAGTTTAACTGGGCCAGCTCCTTCAACTCAGCTTGTAGAGAAGAAATCGTTGTACATTTCAATTGTACATCACTCCCTAATAAAACAATTGAGTCAAAGAATTCTTTGCATAGGTCGGCCGCCTCCTTGCGCTTCTCGTTCAACGCCATCACCATTCTCTTTTCCGAATCCAGCCAATTCATCCTCAAAGTCCTGTGTAAGTGGCGCTGTTTTATATATTGATTTTGAATTGCCCTAGCATCGGCATTCAAACGTTCATTATCGTCACGCAAATTTATTATGACTTGCTCTTTGTCAGTCACAGTATTTTCCAGTACTTTAAATCTTTCCTTAATTTGGGATTTAAAGTCGTGGTATTCCTGCTTACTTTGTCAGTTCGCCTCTCTCATTCTCAGTATTTATATTTATCTGCCTGCATTTCTTTGAGCAGTAAATTTTCTGGTTTTTCAGTTTTACATTAGATTTGAAGTCTCTGTCAAGGCAGCTGTGATGAAATAGGTTGAAGCACGCAATGCAGCAATAATTGCCATAAGTTTTGTTAGCACAGCATTTAAATCTAAATTTTGGTTTGGAATCCATAGTTAATTGATGACAACCGGTCCAACAAAACAGCTTACACATACACAGAGTTAAACAAAAGGTTCGTGTGCACCCGGACTACAATGGGTTTTAAATTTATTAGTTTTGTTTATATTAACTGCTGGGTGTGAAAGCTAAGGTGACCAGCAAAAAAATGCCAGGAGATAATAAATCCATTGTTATTTTAGTTTTAACAAGAGGAATACTTCCACAATTTCCAAAATTACCGGAAAACTGTTCAGTTTCCACTAAGGAAAATTTCACAAACAAAAAGTCTACACTCTTACGTATAAAACGATATTTAACCCTTAATCCATCTAAAAATGACAACTTTAAACTTATTAATTTCAAGATTTTTGCGGAGTCTGCGAATAAACTGCGCAAACTCCAATAACCAATGACCCACATCATAAAAAAAAAACCTTCCACAACCGTAACGCAAGTAAATCTAAATTATTAAATCTTCATATTCTTTCAAAAAAAAAAAGCCATAAAATAAAAGCTTCTGTTTCATCTGGAAAATAAGGAAGTAAATTTAAAGCCGATTGATATACGTTTCAAATTAGGCTTCAGTTAAAAATAAATAATAAAACCATTTTATTTATCCTGAAAAATATATGCGCACATGAAAATTGATGCCCACTTGAAATGTAAATATTACATTTTCAACGGCATACGCTATTAACCTTTATATGCAATTTTTATCTGCAAGGCTTTTATATTTATCTACCTCTGTTCCAGTTCTATTTACCATCAGATAAGTTTTATGTTTAAGTTTTTTACAGTCAAAATAAAAAAATATATATAATAAAAATACAAATAAAAGGTAGGTATTCTGGAATAATATAGAAAGTAAACACTTTGCTGGAAAATTTCCCCAGGGTAATCTGCTTTTCAGTAATGAGATAAAAAATGTAACGGTTAATTTTGAGCCTCTATATTGGTGAGGTAAATTTTTTATTCAAGTTTGTTTTGTAATAATTTTTACTCTTGTCGATTTTTTTTAATAAGTGATTAGTTGCCAATGTTTGAGTATAAATTCGATCCTCTTCACACACAACAACTAACTTACATTTTCAGTTGAGAAAATTATTATCCTAAATTTATCACAATTGGCCAAACTATGACACACACTATCTTTTGAGCCAATAATGAAATTCCATTTATAAATTTTGAGAAGGTTAATTTGCGGTTTTGAAATGGACCCTACTATTGGTAGATGACACGGTTACTAGGTCTTTCTTTGAAATGTCTCTTATATTTTTGAATTTTCCCATACCTTATTGGAATTATTCAAATTTCCCAGATATAAAAATATTCTTTTTAAAAATCATCTCTTTTATTTGACTTCCTTCTGATTTCCACAATCTGTCTTGAAACTTCTCTCACTTACTGTGCATTTTTTAGGGTGGATGAAAAAACTTTCCAGCTGACTTCCCCTTCACTTCAATTTCGCCCAATCTTGAAAATTTGAGGAAAAGTGAGAAGGAAAATACGTCAACTTTCCTAGTTGCTGTTCTCGAAAGTTTAGAAAAGAAACGGAATTTTGTCAGGCTAAAACCTTGACAATTAAAGACAAAATAAATCATCATTTGGTTTCCGTGTTAGTGAGTTTTTAAATGTTACTAGCCTGAGGCTCAATTTTACAAAGTTCTGATACAACCCAACTAACTATTAGTAATTTAATAGAAGAAAAAGTTTAGAAGCATATGGCTGAAGTAACTAGGAGATTTTTGATTTCTAGAAATTTTATAAAAAAAAAGTTATAGAACATTCAAATGGTGCATCTCAATCCTGTCCATTACTATAGGAAATTTGTAATAAATATAAATTTTTTTTAAATAACTATTTCTTTATTTTTTTGAATTTAACGCACATACCATTTAAAATCCCACACAAGTCCACACCACTTGCCACTCACACCAAAAAAAAAATCCCGTCACAATTCAATCACATGATAAATCGAAAAAAAAAATTGTAAGTACTTTCCAAATTATCGCACTCAACGAAAACTTTTCCAATAAGTTTTCCGAAAAAAAAGTCGCCGTCCGCCCGGTTCGAGTTCGGCGCTATTTCGTCCCCCTGTAAGCGTCGCGACGTGGAGGCATCGGAGGGATGAACGCGCGGAATGTGCGACCGAAACACATCCTGGCCACCCTTTTCTTGCACATCGATCCGGAGGGATGTCTTTTTTGGGTTTTCGGGGTGCGTCGTCTGTTCTTCGTAACCTACGGAGGCGTCGAAGGACACAAAGCGGACGACCATCACTTCTGGTGAGGTAGGTCCGAGTGACTCAGAATTTACTAATGCCTCAAGTTTTCTGATCATTTGAGCTTTCAAGATCCAAGTTTCTACTCGGTACAACAATACTGACCACACATAGCATTCCATAAACCTTATTCTGATGCGGAGGTTTAGATTTCTGTTTGTAAGCATTTAGGAGTATTTGGCAAATGCCTTTCGAGCCATTTCTATTCTGATCTTTCTTAATTTCTTCGTCTGGATCCATCAGAGGAATTATGACTGAACCGAGATATTTGTATTTTTGCATCTGTTCTATTTGTTTTCCATTCAATGTGAGAAAAGTGTTTGGGTTTCTACTTATCTAGTTTTTTCGGTGTTTATAGGAAGTCCTACTTCTCGGTTCACTGTCTCTAATAGGGTTGAAAGATCTTCTGCACACTCAGCCAGTAAAGCAGTATCATCGGCGAATCTTTGGTTGTCTATTAATATTCCTCCAATATTTAGTACCTCGCGTCTCTCTTCCAGCGCTTTCTGAAATACAAACTGAGAATACCTATAGATTAAACAATAATTGTTGGGCCAACTTTCTTCTGAATTTCGATTTCATCTGTCTTCATGTCCTCAACACGCACTACTGCAAGACTGATTTGAGCCAATCTTTTGGAATTTCTCCTTTTTCATAGATTTTGTTGAGTACTTTTGCAAGATGAGTCAAGTTTTCATTGCCCAAGGCCTTTAAGAACTCTCTTGGAATGTTGTCAGGTCCAGCCGCTTTTCTGTTTTTAGAAATTTGTATGGCATACTCCACTTCTGATTTAAGTGTACATAGCTCTTTCGTCTGTCTGTTTTCTTCTCTTACGTCACCTCGTTCTGCTGCAGATATACATGTTTGATGTGGTCTTTCCAAGTCTGTCTTTTTGTCACCTTCTGTCAACGGGATCTCTCCCTGGATGTTTCTTGTTTTCTTTTCCTTGTGTTTCCAGTTAATTCCTTCAATTTTCTTATGTACATTGAAAATAATCATGTTTATTGTACAGTTCTTCCATTTCATGACAGTTTTCTTACATCCATCTTTCTTTGGCTCTTTTTATGTGGTGTTCTACTTGCTTTTCCAGTTGTATTTTTGTAGGTTAGTGTTTCTAGAGTTACGCTTTTCTTCTATAAGAACTATAATTTCTTGGGTCATCCGTGATTTTTCGCAGTTTGCTCTTTTTTGCCTACAACTTGTTCCGCGGCAGTCAGAATCGTGAATTTAATTTTATTCCAGGCTATGTCAATATTTGCCGTTGATGCTTCGGAAATGGTGTTGCCCAAGAATGTGTTAGTGATGACTAACTCTTGAATCACATAACATGTGACATCATAAATGGGTAGTTTGGGGTCATAAGATGTTGAAACGTTGTCGGATGTTAGAAAAACTTTGCTAATTTGAAATACTTCTTCATACTCTTGAGTCCATTTGTTAGAAAATTCGAAGCCTGACTTGCATAGATCGTAGAGGGGTTGCAATTTTAATGAAAGTATAAGTACTCGGCTTGATATAGTAGCTTAAAAGTCCAAGGTAAGAAATGAGCTCAGTGACATTGTTCGGAGAACGAGTTGATTTTAAAGCCTTAACTTCCACATGACTTTGATATTATATTGTTCGATTTTCTTTAATGACGTTTTTACAGCATTCCTGTAAGGTAGAAACGTAGTCCAGTATGTCATCCAAATAACGCTTTATACTCTTTGAACTTACAAAAATATACTATCGATGATAGTTTGAAATATTCCAGGAGATGAACTTATGCCATAAGTCATTCTTGTGTACGTAAAAAGTTCAAGATGTGTGTGATCAACTAATAATTCCTGTAACTTTTTACTTACTTCGAGTTGCTGATATTGTAACAAAATCAATAGCAAATTCATAATCTCGGTCCAAGTTCATCTTTTGTGGGAAAAGTTTTATTTTTATAGATAGTTGAAATGTGACCCTAATGGAATTTACACGCGGAGTTCTGCGAACGACCTAATCTGGTAAAAATCACTTGAAAACCAAAAAAGTATCGAATTTTATAGCTTCAAGATTATTTTGCTTAACCCGAAATTGACAAATATACATATAGGCAAAATTTATGTTTTGCTAGATAAACACTAACCTTTAGACTAATCCAGATCCCATGTGGTTGAAATAATTTATTCAAAGTCAAGGATAATTTTCTGAATACCCACGTTTTATGACGAACCCAGATGTCAGGTAACTGATACCGTTGCTGGAAAGAATTATATTCGAATCATGTGCATGTGGAACGAAACGGTGATTACATGAGCTAGTAGATTTTAAGATACAATAACAAATTGTATGACAATATAATTATCAAGGGTATTACTTTGGTGAAATGTTAACTGTAAGATAGTCAAATGCTTAGTTATAATTAAGATATAGGTAGATTAAGATAGGAGTGATTACTCAATTATTTTATTATTAAATTAATAGAGGATAGTTTAATTCATTTCACACCCATGATAATTAGGCTAGAAATTAGGGAACTTTTATTTTATTTACTCGACTAGGTTAGAAATTAGAAAATAAGAATAGAAAGCATAAGTAATTAGAAAAGGGAAAGGTTTTCAAATAAAAGGGAAAACATTATTATTATTATTAAAAAATGTTCAACTGATAATTTGACCACATGTAACTAGCGAACTCTGTTGGAGAGCCATCAAACTGGATCACATGGTGGAGCAGTTTGAATATGGAAGGTTGAATAAACTTCAGGACCAATGGGAAAACAACAAGAAACCGGAGGGTACTTTCAGCAAATCGCTGAAAGCTAGAAGGGTTGGAGATCTTCGACTTTGTCGATTCTCGCAAGCCCGGTACTAAGGGGTAGCCAATGGGCTTCTAAAGTGGTGCCCAGAGGATGGTTCCTTCCGCTTATTTGAGCAGATGTTGAAGCCAGTTAACTTCAGTTATCGCCAATTCGTCACTAGTTTTTACTACTAGTTATCGCCGGAAATTTAATTCGCAAAATCTCAACGAGTTCTTGATCCGTTTTTCATCCTCTAGTTCATCTGCCGCCCGGTGTTTTGGTAAAAGCTCTCCAAAGAAGTGATAGTTGATTTTTAATTTCAATTCAATTGAAGTGTCAGATTTGGAACAATAAATTCGGAAAATACTCTATTTTCTTTCATTTCTCTTTAATTTAATTTGTTTATGGTCCATTAACTGAATAAGGTAATTTTTAGTTGTTATATTTTACCTTAGCTTTTTTGTCTTTAAATAATTAACGCTCACTTTTCTTTTTGCTCATAAATAAATTAATTTTAATCTTTTAAAATTAGTCTTTCCTTTTCTGATTTTAAAATTCCCCTTAAAACTCTGGTACTGGCATAGAAAGATCTTACGTGCTGGTTTGTGCGGTTAAAGAAGGTGTTTGCAGCTTCAGCAGAAAAGTGGTAAGTGGTACTAACTTTGAGTCTCTAATAACACCTTTCAATAACTACTCTAAGAAGAGAAGAAAGGACATTTCGTTCAAATTGCTTCCGGTTCAGAAAACTGTTATTTACTGCTTCAGATCAAATTTACTTTTCAGCATAATTTACCACGAAATTTTAAGATGGACGGAATTATTCATGCTACCAAAATATCAATTCTTACATAACATCTCAATTTCATCCCAGTATGCTGCTTCCAAATCGAACACAGAAAAATACTTATTTCCAGACAAGCAGGCAAAAATGTCTTCTGGAAGTGGTAAAACACAATGATCAGCATCGGGGGATAATCTGTGAAATACTGGTTGAGCTCCTTCAAGTTAAAAATTATTGATAGAAAACTCTGTATTATACCCGAACACACTGTGAAAATAATTTTTAATACTTAAAACTAAATGATGAATTTTAATTTTTAAAGACTTCTGACTTCTCGAGTTTATTTGATACATTTTTGGACAATAATTTACATTCATTCACATTACTGACTTCGACCACTGCCTTTTTAGGCTTTGGATTTTCAGTTTTATTCATTCAACTCCAGCTCGCATCAACCGACTGACCAGAAATAATCAATAGGTACAGATTTAGAATTACATAAATTTTTTGCACTTATCGCAGATTCACATTGGGATCCATTATTGGTGTACTGATGGGCTTACAATCCACCATTTCAAACTTGCTTAAGACATCCACGACGTACTTCCTCTGACTGATAAAAATACTGCCATCTGAATTTTTCTGCAGTTTCACGTCTAAACAGTTATGTGTGTAACTCCAAGATCTTTAATCGTGATAGTTGCCTCTTTAATTTCTTAACTTCATTTTAATCATTGTGAAAGATAAAAAAAGTCGTTCACGTAGGTACAGTGCAATGATAATAACTAATATGGAACCCTTCTTCTTCAGGTTAGATGCAAGCTGACCACTTGTAATTCAGTTCTTTTAAAACCTTATATTAACTTTCTTATTCCAGGATCATGAAGCTTGATGTTTTAGTCCGTATAATGCATGTCAAAGAAAACATACTTTCTTTTCTTTCCGTCAACGAGGAAACCTTCTGGTTGATACATGTAGATTGTCTCATCCAACTCTCCATTGAGAAAAGAAGTGACAACATCCAACTGTTCCATTTCAAGTTAAATCGAACAGCCAATGGAAAAAGCAAACTTATCGATGAATATCTAATCACTGGGGAAAAAGTATCAATGTAATCTACTTATGCAATTTTTTTGTGTGAAGTCCTTCATGGTTACTAATCATAAGGGGCGTTCCGATAAGAGGTTCCGGATGTTTTTTTTTAAGACATCGGATTCAAAAATTTCAGGTAAAACCCCAAAACTTTCGTATTTACAATTGTTTGATATATCTTCGATAACCCCTGTAGGGGAGGAGTCAATATATGGGGAAAGACCCTGTACATTGTTCCCATCAATATCTTATTGTTTTACTTTATACACCCATTCAGATTCGACCATCTTGACTTCTTTTAGCTTTTCAACCACAATCCAAGTGCCAGATTGATGAAATGAATCAACTCCATTTTGCATCACAACTCTATCCAGAAAGTGCTTCATTGAATGTTTTTGGCTGGAAAAATCGAATAAAGTTTGATATACCAGATGATCCGGGAATTATTTCGATTTTCTGTCTGGAATTGGATATCTGCATTCTGATTCTCAATCTAGTTATCTTTCTTGAGCTGTGAGCTGGAAGATTCTGTTGTTGATATTGTGACTTTATCACAAGAAACTTCTTCATTTGATATTTGTTCTTGAAAGTCATCATAAGTCTTACTTGCTTGTTGTTCATCATTGGCATTATCGTGTGGAATTTCAATTTCTTGATTTTTGTTTTGAGAATCTAATAGTGAGAAAATTGGTGCAAATACTTTTCAAAAAAGTTTTTCGTTTTCGGCTTATTGGTAAAAAGCTGGCCTTCTAAAAGTAGGAGCATCTCTAGCTCTGCATATCTCATGTGTTTTTGGATTGAGAAGTCTATATCCCATCCATGGCTTCTTCATGAATAGCCTATTTTCTGGCTTCTGTCTGATATCCAACTTTCGTCGTTTTCGTTCCGTTATATGAACATATGCTCTTGATCCAAAGACTCTATTGAGATTTACTTTTTGGCCACTCTATTCTGCTTCTGGTGTCATTTCCTTGATCAATTTCGATGATCACAAGACAATTCTTATTGCATCATAGATCTCATCTTATCCAAAACCCTTCGATTCGTGAATTCGTCAACTCCATTTTCTTGTGTGTGTGTGTTTGTGTAGACTAGAGGGACTGTTAGTTGAAATTTAATGCTATTCTGCTATACAAAATTCTTCAAAAATTGTTTAATTCTTTACCACTGTCACTTCGGGCTCTTTTTATCTTCAAGTTACATTTATTTTCTTGAAAACTTTTGAAACTTCACACCTATGCAAATTTCTGGCCCTGTTATTCTCAAACTAAGATTTTCCTGACTTTCCTCTCGACCACGTCAATTTCCATTTTTTCAGAAGCACATAAAAAATAAAATTGACGTGTCCCAGAGGAAAGTCAGGAAAGTGTTAATTTGAGAATAACAGGGCCAGAAGATTGTGTCTTATTTAGCCTATGGAAACTTTTACAGTAAATATCTTGAGAACTAATAATTCTAAACCAACAGAACCCACATCCGATAGCCGGTAACTAATTTGACATTTGGTTAACCACATTTCAGGAAACCAAGGTCCAAAAGTAACCACTTTTCCAGGAACCAGAATAATTTGATTACTTTCGGACCGCGAAACCACAACCCTGGTTATATTCGGACCACAGCCTAAATTATTCTTATCGGTTGACTTGTTCTGCTCATACTTTTCATTCTGATCAGAAGAAGAAGGTCCACTAGCTTTTGTATTTTTATATCATTTTGCTTACACAGAACGACTTTTCCAACACCAAGACTTTTCTCTCGCATTACTGACTTTATTTTTTTTAGACCACAAATCTTTGTTGGAATTTTGCTTATCATTATTCCAATTTGTATCTTGGATTTGATTACATCACTCATAATTTGTGATCAATTGTCATCATCATAGGATCTTAATATGTACCTTTCTGACAATTCTTGAAACATTATAGCTCCCAGCAATTCACCATCAATGGCTTCATTTATGGCACTAAGTTTTTGAAAAGCTGTCATAAAATCATCAATCTAATATTCCATACTGACATCATTAGTATTTGAGCCGGTCGAAACGAAAGGACCTCCACTACAACGAATCTTGGTGGAAATCAAACATCAGAGTTTGCTAGAATGTACAGAAATTTACACAATTTTTAGAGTAAAACCTCTTAGGGTACGTGCACAACGGAGCTGTGATACAAACTTGTAGCCTGGTTGATATAGATCATAGCTGAAATTATGAGCGCTTATAGATATGCACAACGGAGCTGTGATATACTAACGTGGATTTATAGCTTTTAAACAATTTCATCTCGCATTTCTGATCCCAGTGTCGGACAGTCATAACGATTATTTATGTTCGTCCGCTACAAATTTGGTATTTTTCGTGGCGTTGAGCCTCAAAAGAATACCATACCCACTCAATATTAATAAAGAACAGCTATAAATGAGAGATTATCACCACTTTTATCAGGAGTTGAAGGGATTGCTTGAAGCCGATGATCATTTTTATCTTCTCATCTACTTTCCAATACATTTTAAGTGAAATTAAAGAAAAGACGATGACTGGGCATGCGACACCCTTGTCAGCTGGTTTCTGCTCGCAAAAAGAATGGTAAAATTGATTCTGGTATGCTATAAGCGATCATCCCAACTATACTCACTGCTCCGATGTGCACGCTCACATTTAAATTAACGATATAATTTTAAGCATCGATGATAACTTCCATCTATCGTCCAGGCTATAAGTACGTATCACAGCTCCGTTGTGTACGTACCTTTAATAATCACGTTGCAGAAAATTGGAATCGAAAGAAAAATTCAAGTTTTATCTGTCCAGCAGAAAACAATATGTGAGTGCCTGAAGATTTTAAGTGATTATGGACAGGAGTTTCTCAAGGCTCTTATTTTGGACCATTGATGTTCCTCCACGTGCAGCATCCCGTTACACGAGACAAAAACTACTTTCAGGGTCCTTATTCTTGAAACAAGGAAGCAGCGTTCCCAGGAGAGCAAGTATTCCGTTTTTTTCAATGATATGCAAATGATACTACAAGTAACAAAGGCAGAACACTCCACTCGTTCTCCTGGAAACGCTGCTGCCCTGTTTCAAGAATAAGGACCCTGGATGTCAAAAAACAATCTATGATTCTATCTACAATTTTCTAAGAAACTACAGCGGACCTGTAGTATTCCTATTTTTGATTTTTACTGTTACGTTTCTCTTAATCGTTGAGTGGAATGGCAGTGACTGGTTTAGACAATATTATATGTTTAAAATAAAGAAGGGAAGCAGGTCCATTATTTCTAAAGTTTAGTAAACTTTTATTTCAACAACAAACAAACAAATAAATAATGAATGCTATTAACATCATCTTAAATAGGTAGTACATTTTGGCGACGAGATCAGAAGCGATGTGAGCAGGCCATATCATAAAAAGAAACAAACAAGAAACAAAACATGGGATAGCCTCAACAATGTGGAAGTTTTTAACCTCCACGGTGAAAATGTGAGATTAAAATGGTATAAATGACTAATACAACGGTTTGATAACTTGCCAGATCCAAAAGTTCTTATTGATCCTAATACAAATGCCCCAGTAAACTTAACAAAGTATCATTAAGCCAAATTGAAGTTAAACAACTATTTTATTCCAAAAGTCAACACGGAGTTTGAAATATTTATTTTCAGATAGGCAAAACAGTTAGACCAAGAAAAAATTATTGTTGAGTAGGTACTATGCCAGATTATTAAAGTTAAGTTTAAACTGTAAGTTTTGTGATAAAGATAAAGAGATAAAGTCTCAAATTATACAAGGTACCAAATCTACCAAGTTAAGAAGACGCGCACTCACAGAGAACCCATCTCTTGATCAACTGATAGCCCAAGGAAAGGCAACTAAGGTGCAGTTAAACGAAATAAAAAACAATATGACAGATGAGAATGTGAACAAAATGAAGAACAAGAAACAGTGGAGAGAAAATTTGTTGGGAGATAAAATTACCCAGCTTTGAACGTAATTTTCTTCAAATAAACAAGAAAAGGATGTTTGGCTACAGTGTGTCTATCCCTTCAAGTACCTCATCAACAAATCACCCAACAAAAGTTGAGTCGAGTGATGCTTCACAAACAAGTGATGATTATACAATCAAAAGTAAATTACAATCAGCAGAAAAGCCATCAAAACCTGCTGGTTTGACAACAACATGTGATAGAAATTTGCCATCAGCTCAGCCATCAGAACATACAAAGAGCCAGAAAAATTTAAAAAAATATATTTTCATTGGAAGTTTATCGATGATGGTGTCACCTCAGACAAATTATGGTCCCCCAAGAGAGTCAATCTATAAATGATATAGACGACTACAACATAGCTAGATTAGTTGAAAATTCTATTAATCCAATAGAAAATGTTGAGATGTCAGCAGACAGCTTCATGAGTTCAAAAGAATTTTTGGATTCAGTGGCTGAATCTACAGAAGTTTGTTATCAAAGACCTCAAAGAGACTGTAGAAAGCCCAAATATCTCATTGATATCTAGTATCTGAGATGTAGAGAAAAATTTTCGATGGAAGATTTCTAAGTCTTATTACTTGTCCAGTAGAAAACAATGTCTGAGTGTCTGAAGATACAAAGTGATTATGGTCAGGAATATCTCAAAGCTCTCATTTCGGAACAATGACTACACATCCAACATCCCGTTACGTGAGACAAAATACAACTCTCTGGATGTCAGAGAACAAACACAATTTATTCAATTATTATAAAATTTCTCAAACAGTTATTTGTGTATTCTTCTTATGGAAAATCTTAGTGTCGAAGAAGTAAGAGTTTGGTACTTCTTCCTGGAACATTTTCTGATACTTAATCGGACGGTCAAGAGGATAGAACATGTTGTAAGTGTCAATGGAAGGCCCGCCTACTCCAGGCCGAGGATAACGGTAAGTCCAAGTTTTAGGATCGTTTCCTTTGTAAACGTTCAAAGGGTAAATGAAGAAGTAGAACTGAACTGGAAGGCCACTGATTTGACCTTTTGGCAAAGCAAATCTATAAAGAAAAAGTGATTATATATTATTGAATTAATGGTAATTGTGGTTGGTTACCTTAATGGGTATTTGAAATAATTATCTCCTGCGTTTACTTTGAATTCACCCCCCTTGTTAGCATCGATAATTTGTTGCTGCAAGTGAGCAAAGCTTGTTTTGTCTTGGGTAAAGAAGTTACACTTGCCGAAAAATCTTTTGATTTTGTTTTCTCCAGCTTGTAGATTGAAGGTGAATTTTTCAATTTCAAAGAAGTTCCATCTAAAAATGTCATATTAAAGAAATCCAATACAGAAATCATTGTTTTTACCTGTTGTCAGTGATATTGATGAAGCGTCCATATTGATCAACTTGAGGTCCAATGAAAGTCTTAACAACCACATCTACTTTTTTGTCAGATTCCACATGCAAAGTGTAAGTGAAAGGGATATGGTTCAAACGAGGTTGTTTCACGTTGATACGGAAATGGGTTTTGCCTTCTTTTATTGCTTCTTCAGAATAGAATACAGCTTGGCTAAGGTCAGCGGTGAATTCATCGTAGTAAGTGATCAGCTGGTCCATTTGGACTTTCTTGATGGATACTCCAGGCATTTTTAGTTGGTCCAGTTTGTAAGGTTCCATACGGTACTGGAATCTATAAAGAAAACCAACAAGTATTGAAACCAAAATAATAATATACAAAAAAAGATTGCAGCAAAATGGATAAACCTCGTTTTCTTCAACATTCGAGTTTTGGACGTCCCAAATGATTATTCAAACACAAAATTTCAACATCTCATCGACAGAAAATCATCATCATTACTTACTTGTGCATAAAATGAATCATTTGTTTGTAAAGTTGATAGAATCCTGGATCTCTCAAAGTGGTTTCAATGTGTTCCATTGCAGACGGCACGATTTTGTAGGGAGATAGAGCAGAATCAGAAATTCCCATGAGCTTCCGAGCGTGACCTACATAAGAATTTCACCAATTTAAATTTCCAAAACGAAATTTTCATACTCACCCAACCATGGACCATAAAAGTCACTGTCAGGAGAATCAGGATTGGCTTGAAGCAGATTTCCGAGATGATCGTAACCGTCTTTTTCGTTGTAAAGTTCAACTTTCTCCCCTTGTTTCTAAAAATAAGCCTTAAATTTTTTGAATCCAACAAAAACAAACACTCACATTAATGGCAAAACCTTTGTCAATCGCATCAGAAATCCTCCTGACATAATCCTTGTACCTATAGTAATCATAAGCAAATTGAGTTTTCATATTGTGAACTCCATAAGTATAGAAATAATCTGATACTTTAGCAAATCTGCTTCTTTGAGGGAAAGGCATTCCATTTGGATACTGCATAAATGGATTGTAGAAAGTGTGCATGGGAACATCAAAGTCTACATAGTCGATTTGGCCAAAACCATTGGAAAGACGTTCCATGTAATATCTGGCAAACATTTGATGATGGATGAATAGCCAGAGTTCTCCACGGCGATCGTGGTTGATTTCATATTTGGTACCATTCATCCAGAAAGGATAGTACAAATGGTAACTGTAGTAGAAAGAGTTCATACCCAAATCTTCATGATAATAAGCCATTGACTGTTCTGGATGCATGTTCATGTAATTTGAAGTGTAATTAGCGTAAATTGTTTGTGACTCTTGGTTGGTTTCCTTAAGTCTGTAAGCTTGTTGGATGGTTTTAAGATCAAAAAAGTAATGAGGATAGATTTCGTAGATTGGAGGCAATACTATTCCATAAGTATCTTTCCTGTGAATTAAGGCGACAGAGTAGGTGTACAAAAACATCCCTTCGTTGATGAAGTGTCTCAAAACCACAGCGGTTTTGTAAAAAGTTTCAAAATCTTTGGCATAATACAAAAGATCGAAAACAGCCATGGCTTGTTCCAAATGCATTTGGTTGGCGATCGAGAAGATTTCACCTTTGGGTAACTGGTAGTGGTTGTTGTAGAACTCCATAATTTTGTCAACTACTTCAGGATGCTATACATAATTATATAATGAAATAATAATTATTTTATATAAAATTTATATATTTACCTCAAATTTATCCATCTGTTTTTCAATGTCCCATGACTCTACAATTTCCATGTGCTTTTTCTGAAAGCATGGTTGTTTCACATTTTGGAAAAGTGTTAAGACTTTGGTCTGTTTATCCACAAAGGCACGGTCAACTATATAGGGGAAAATTAATTGAAATTAAAACCATCTTGTACTAAAGCGTTGGTATAGAGGTCAATCAAATGGCAAACATTTTGGAATAATTATTCACAAATAAATTATACCCTTTACATATTCAGTGTGTTAATTTTGAAATTGGAAGTTGAGTGCAAATATGTATATTAAATTTAAAAAACCCTTACCGGTTATAGATTCGCAACCAGGTCCTATAATAGTAGCTTGAGCTAAAACAGCGCAAGCTCCAACTGCCAAAACAGCTAAAATCAGCTTCATTTTTCACTCCTGCACTCTAGCTTTTGCAGTGCACCTACCCCAATATGTTTTCTTTAATTTATATACCAAGTTCAGGGGGCAAGTTTTTGATGACCCCAGTGATAGCCAATCAATTTGGTTTGGTGTTTTGGCTTGGCTGATTAATTGATGATGCCGGGTCGTTGTTTGTTTAAAAATAATATTCGTAAGATAAATAATGCAATTTATACCTAATCAATGTTGTTTTGAATTTAGAGCTCGGCATGACAAAGTGCTAAAATATATACAAACTTATGTTCCAACTTCCTCACATGACGAGGTGGAAACGGTATACGAAGACATAGCGAGAGCAATAGGAGAGAACCCAACGACTCACACTATTCTAGGAGGAGACTATAATGCAAAAATAGGCAGAGGAGCAGAACCAACGGAAACATACATAGGATAGTTCGGACTCGGCACCAGAAATGAAAGGGGAAGAATGTTAGCAAACTTCCTAGAAAGAGAAAGACTCTATCTGATGAACACTTTTTTCCAAAAGAAAGAGAAACGTAAATGGACATGGAATAGCCCAGATGGACAAACCAAAAATGAGATTGACTTTATAATCCCCCGCCATAAACACGTAATCCAAGACGTAGATGTAGTCAATCAATTCAACACCGGCAGTGATCACAGAATGGTAAGATGCAATTTGCTCATAAACCCAAAAAATGGAAAGAAAAAGAAAGATGGAACAAACGGCGAAGAGAGGAAGTAGAGAAAAGATAGCAGAAAGAAAGGAAACATACAAAGGCTGAAAGAAAACTTTTCCAACAATCCAGGAAAAATAGAAGAGTCATCAGATGATAAACAATAGAATAACAAAAATTATAACAGAAACAGCAGATAATAGGCCACCCAGAGAAAACGGCGGACAAACTGTCGATAGAAAGGAAACAGCTACTAGAGAAAATGAGAAAACTGATAACCGACGGTAAAAGAGACACTATTGAATACACAGAAACCAACAAAACATCAAGAAAAATAGCGAAACAGGATATACTAAAACATCAAACGAAAGAAGTGCAATCCCTATCAGAACAGAACAAAGGACTAAATATATTTAAAAGACATAACACACCTAGGAAAGAGATAACAAAAATAAAAGATGCGAAAAACAACATAGTAGAAGACACACAAAAGATATTAAAAGTTGTGGAATCTTTTTATAGAGATCTGTACGATTCTAACATAGTAAACACAAGGACAAGAGAAGACAAAATACGAATAGTAAATGCAAACTCAGAAGAAATGCCCGACATAAATATGGAAGAACTGGAGAAAGGGTTACTAAGACGAGACAAGAACTAGTGAAACTATTCAATAAGTGCTTAACAGAAGAACATATGCCCAAAAATTGGGAGAATGCTGTAGTTGTTCTGATCTACAAGAAAGGTGACCCGACTGATCTCGAAAACTACCGGCCGATAAACTTACTATCATAAATATTTGAATTATTCACCAGAATAATCACCAACAGATTAGAGCGAAAACTCGAAGTTCACCAACCAAAGGAACAGGCTAGATTCCGAAGCCATTATAGCACGACAGGACATCTACACACAGTAAGGTAGATGATTGAGAAAGCTACAGAATATAATATAAACATATGGATGGCTTTTGTCGATTTCCGAAAAGCCTTCGACACAGTAGAAACCTAGGCAATAATAAAATCCTTGAGAATTGCCAGAGTGAATCAACGTTATATAAACCTCATTGAAACCATCTTTAGGACTTTGACAATGTGGATAAGACTTCATGAAACATCTAATAGAATAAACGCCAAAAGAGGAGTTCGGCAAGAAGACGTAATATCTCCAAAACTATTCACTTTAGTGCTCGAGGATATTTGCAAAAAGCTACAATGGGAAAACAAAGGATTGAACATATATGGTGAACGCCTGCACAATCTAAGATTTGCCGACGATATTGTACTATTCGCAAAAGACAAACAGGAATTGATAGATATGTTGGAAGAACTACAGGATGAGGCGGCAAAATTAGGATAACACATGAACTACTGTCCGCCCAAGTTAAGAACACCGGTTAAAAAAATGTGAAGAATTTAAGTTCATAGAAAACATAATACTCATGTATACTTACTAGGAAAAAATGAGGTGTTTAATAATTGGTATTTGTTAACAATTATTAAACGCCTCATTTTTTTGAAGTGAATGTATGTGACAACTATGTTTTCTATGAACTTAAATTCTTCACCTTTTTTTAACCGGTGTTCTTAACTTGGGCAGATAGTACACAAAGACCCAGTTTATTACAAATACCCCAGATGCAGACGAAACAATACCGATCCATGACAGCACAATGAAAAGGACAGAAACATTCATATACCTTGGCCAAGCTATAACACCGGGCAAACAAAATCAAGAAATGGAAATTCATAGGAGAATTAGACTGGGATTGTCGGCTTACGGCAATTTAAAGTACATCTTCAGCATGAATATTCCAATGACTTTAAAATCAAAAGTCTATAATGAGTGTATACTGCCTGTTGTCACGTATGGTTGCGAGACCTGGGTGATAACCAGAAAAATTAAACACAAATTGGAAGTACATCATCAGAGAGCCATTGAAAGACGAATTTCAGGAATTTCCCTGCGAGACCACAAAACAAATACATGGATAAGGGAAAGAACCAAAGTCTCCGACATAATAAGAAGAATTGGTTCCCTAAAATGGCAATGGACAGGTCACGTGGCCAGACATACAGGAAACTGGAGCGGGTACATCACTAGATGGAGACCTTGGGAAGAGAGGAGAAGTGTTGGAAGACCCCAACAAGATGGTATGACGAGATAAAGAAGGTTGCAGGCTTAAATTGGTACCGAGTTGCGTAAAACCGAAGAGAATGGTCAAATTTGAAAGAGGCCTGTATCCTAAAGATAGAAAACGGCTAAAAATGGAAATTGATATTATGGTGAATTTTAATGGCTTTAAAAATGGGAATGTAGGGGTGATTGTACAAATTTAGGTTTTTTGGATAAGAATTTCATTCCTAGCCATTGTTGTCTGTGTTCCAAATGCATTTGGCCGCTTTCCGCCAGCAATGCATTGGTAGGAGTGGATTTTGCTCATCCTAAAACTATTCTTAGGGCTTGGTATCTGATATTTTTTAGTTTTGTTGTTTTTTTTTTATTTAGATTCAGTAGAAAGTATTCGTACTCTAAATGTGACATTACTAGTCTCGAGTAAAAGTTTGTCATGGTATGTGGATCGACTCCCCACCATACTTTGTCAAAAATTTTAATAATATTTATTCCCTTTTTTGTCTTTTCTGTTATATAGTCTATGTGCTTATTCCAATTGAAATTATTGTCTAATGTCTAGTGCCATTCCTAGGTATCTGATTGTGTCCCAGTATTTTTTCCCTGTATGATGATTGGAGGGGATATTCTGTTCTTTTTTTTTTTTCCTTTTTGTAAATAGAATTGACTGGCACTTGTGTGTTGAGACAGAAAAGTTGTTGGTCAGTTGCCATTGTGTAACTAACTACCTCTAGAGCTCCATTAATTTTGTCTACCATTTGCCCTATGTTTTTCCCTTTGGTGAATAAAACGATGTCATCCGCAGAAGCTATGATAATTATTTCTTTGGGCAAGATTTCAAGAAGGTGAGAGTATTTTCCGATTTGCAACTGACCACTTTATTCTGTTTTTAATCATGATTTCATATACTTTTAAGCGCATGAGGCCAATATTATTGGGGCGATAACTTTCCAGGAGTTAAGTATCCTTGTGAGGTTTGTTGATGGCTATTATGTATTGCTTCCATGCTATATGTATAGGTAGATCCTTGCCTGCAAGGATTTCATTACCTATATGTATGAAGAAAGTTGGTTCTGGCTTCGTCAGGGAGATTGGCTATCATGGAGTATGAAATTTCGTCCATCCCCTCTTTTCTCTCTTAGGACCGTGTTCATATCATTGATGTGCAGTTTAGTGGGTATTGTTATGGGATCCATACTGAATTCTGACTCTATGTCTACCGATGCCATTTTGCTGATTATTTGCAGTCTTCTATGATTGGGAGTTATTGAAGTGCTCCCCTGACTATATTTGCCTGTGAATCTTTTTAGTTTTTCTCATGTTTGTTTGATATTGAGTCTCTATTCAAAGTGGAAGAAAATAATTTAAATTTTTCCTTTTTCTTTTATTTCCTTTTTCTATTCTTGGCTATGGCGTGTTGAAGGCTTATGTAGTTTTCTATGTTGGTGTTGGGGGTACTCTATATAGTTAAATAGGGCTACTTTTCTTTGATTCAACATCTGTATGCAATCATTGTCCCACCAAGGATTTCCAATTCTATTCTTAGTATTTTCTGGGGTTCTTGGAATAAAATTGTCTGCGGCATCTCGCATAATGTTGTGTAATATATCCCAGTCTAGTAGTTCTCTTGTTTGTATCTCCCTTGTAATGTAATTACGTCCATTCACTATTTGAGTAAATTAGGCAGTTTGAATCAGCTGATAATTCAAGATGGCGATGCGTCACAAATGTAAACAAACCATTGAGGTTAGACATGCCTCCATATAAGCACATATATAAATGTGTGTTATTTCACTTATTTCTACCTGTTTCAAATTTTAATTTAATGAATTTTAATTTATTTCAATTTCCTTTAATGTTCGTAGTTACTTGGAATATTTCTCTATTAATAAGATACCTGGACACCAGGTACAAAACGAACCCCAACAAGCTGTGCCCCAAGTAGGTAGAAAGGCCTAAAATATAAGTTACATCAAGGTGATTTTCTTCATCTCCGATCAGTTGTTCGTGTGCTCCAGAACTGTAAGCAGTCTGAAACATATACTTAGTTCATAAATATTGATTGAAATGATCACAACGATTGAGACCCTAATTAAGCCAGGATAATCTATTTTTCTCTAATGAATTGGAGGGATCCAAGCAAGTTTTCTCCAGAACATCCACTCACTCTACTGTTCCAAGATTGCTATCCTGACCCACGATCTACGTCCGGGTGCAGGAGATGCTGCGCAGAGGATGGACACTCTTCATTTCATGAACTGTCTGTTTGTTGATCCTGTTTTGGCTCAGAACACATCACTTACTGGAACCGGCCATTCTTCTACATAATATAATTGTCGTGGATCTAGAATCATCATCATCATCATTAACCAGCCCTCTGCGTCCACTGTTGAACATAGGCCTCCCTAAACATTTTCCATTCCAATCGATTTTGTGCTGTTTGTTTCCAGTTGCTGCGGGTCCTCTTAATATCGTCCGACCAACGCGTAGGCGGTCTTCCTCTACTTCGCTTGTCCGTTCTAGGCCTCCACTCAAGAAGCCTCTTCTCCCATCGATAATCCCGCATTCGTGCAACGTGGCCAGCCCAGTTCCACTTAAGCTTCGCAATGGCTCAGACGACATCGCTGACACCGGTTCTTTCGCGCAAATCCTCGTTTCTTATGTGATCCTTCAAGGTCACACCAAGCATGGATTTCTCCATTTTCCTCTGTGAAATTTTGAGTTTCTTTGCTGTTGTCAGTGTTAGGGTTTCTGAGCCATATGTCATTATTGGTAGCACGCACTGATCGAAAGCCCTTCTTTTTAAATTGACGGGAATGTCACACTTGAAAACGTCTTAAAGTCTTCCAAAAGCTGCCCATGAGAGAATGAGTCTTCTCTTTAGTTCGCATGTTATCCCTTGAGATGCTGACCTCATGGCCAAGGTACACATATCTATCTACCATTTGAATTTCAGCTCCATCAATCTTCAAGCCGCAGCTGGGAGCAAGGGTTGTCATGAATTTTGTTTTTGACATATTCATAATAAGACCGTCTTTTCCACACACCTCTTGTAGGTTCTGCAACATCAGTCGCATTTCTTCTAGATTATCCGGGAATAGCACTATATCATCTGCAAAAGGTAAGTTGTTTAAGTTCTTGCCATCTATGTTTATACCTCTCTGACTCTAGACCAATTGTTTGAATGCACTCTCCATGACTATAATGAACAGTTTTGGTGACATAGTGTCGCCTTGCCGAACACCACACGTTCAATAGTTATGAGGTTGGTATCTTCATGTAGTTTTACCGTCATTGTTGCATTTTTGTAGATATTGTGGATGAGTATGGTATATCGGTAGTCGATTTTACATTTCTGAATTGCATTCTACACTGCATTTAGCTCTATTGTGTCGAAGGCTTTGTGGAAGTCCACGAATGTCATTACTAAAGCTCTGTTGTATTCCATTGTCTTTTCTATAGGTGTTTTGACGCTTTGAAGGTAGTCATTCGTTCCAAATCCACGACGAAAACCTGCCAGTTCCACATGTTGGTAGAAATCCAATTTATTTTCCAGTCGGGTGGTTATAATTTGGGTAAACAGTTTGTAAAGGTGACTTAAGAGGCTTATTGGTCGGTAGTTCTCTAGCTCTGCTATATCTCCTTTTTGTGAAGCAGGATTACAATGGAATTATGCCAATTTTTGGGAACTTTACTATTGAATAGACAGAGGTTGAAAAGCTCTTTTATTTTTAGTAGTAGATGTTGGCCTCCTATTTTTATTGCGTCTGTAACTATGTTGTCTTCCCCTGGCGCTTTATTATGTTTTGTGTTTTTTAATGCTAATTCTATTTCCTCTATGGTAATATCAGGAAGCTCTTCTGATCCTTGGTTAACAATGCCCCTTCTCGACATCAGGATTACGGGTTCAGAATTTTCTTCGTCATATTGACTTTTGTAAAGGAGTTTATAGAATTCCTCCACTCTATTTAATATTTCCTTTCTATTGGTCGTAAGCTCTCCATCTTTGTTTCTCATTTTGCATATTTCCTTCCTTCCATTTGTAAGTTTTCTTTGACTCCTGTCCGAGAGAAAACCTTAGGAGGGAATACACATAGGTAAAAACATCCTCATCTGCTCAGACAGTCGAGCGTCGATCAAAGTACTCAACAGCTTTGAAATAAAATCCAGACTTCTCTGGGAATGCTTGGAAAACTTTAAAAACCTGAGTATGGCCAACAAGGTAACCCTTGAATGGGTGTCAGGACATGAAGGAATTGAAGGAAATAGAAAATCAGATACTCTGGTAAGATAAGGATCAGCAAACCGGCAATTGGCACCACAAAATCATCAGTGAGAACAAAAATAAACTAATGGGTGTATAGACAACATAAAACCTACTGGCAAACTCTTCCGAAGCTCAGATACAGTAAGCTAATGGTAGAACAACCATCACCTAAACTTACTGAAGATGCTACAACTAAACAGGAATCAAATCAGGCTAATAACTGGACACTGTAGCCTAAGAAAACACCTTCACATGATAGGCATCCTCCAAGAAAAACCCATATGCAGACTTTGTGACGAAGAGGATGAAACTGCCACCCACATAATCTTCGAATGTGAGGCTTCACGCTGGTGGAAATACAGACAGATAGGGCCAGAAGACCCTATCTCTAAACTCACCAAAAGTAACACGGTGAGAGGTGAGAGGCCATGGCCATGTTGGGGCCACCTAACCCGGCCTGTTCACTCTGCATCTAAACCAACCAACCAACAGATAAACTGATAAACATGAAACCTACCTGCTTTTGGCAATATTGATAATTAGTGGTTATCGCGTAGGAGTTTTGGTTACCTTGAAGGAGGTTACCAATTATATTGTAACCTTCCATTTTGCCTTAAAGACTGATTTTTTGAAAGTTTTTTTGGAAGGTAATTGGTTAATAATTGAGATTTTCCAAAAAACTCTCACACTTTCATCATTCACAAATCCCTCTATCAATACTATCTGATAATCTCTTCATAACATCCTTATACATATCATAGTTGTAGACACTTCTTACAGGTTCCATAGGTGTCGAAGTAATCAGAAACTTTCGCAAATCTAAGCCTCATAGAAAATGGCATTCCACTGAGATATCGAAGCAACGGATGGTAGAAAAAATCCACACCCTCGATTTGATCCAAACCATCATTGGAGAGACGTTCCATGTAATGTAAGTAGGAAATATTTGTTGATCGTTGAAAAGCCAGAGTTTTCCACGACGATTTTGCATTAAGTAATATTCATACAGAAATAGTAGATTATGACCAGCTCATGATGGCCCCTCGAAAAATTTTCACATCAAGAGCCGTTAATATTGAATTTTTTGAATATTGAAGGGAATCAAGAACTGAAAATATTCACTTTGTCAATATATAAACCACAAAATCTTATGTAAAACAAAAATCTATTCAATCCTTAAATAAACATCTTAATTTATTCTAAATGTTCAAGTCTTATACGGCAATAAAGGCCAAAATTTATTGTAAACTAGAGTTTGGAGACACTTCCATATCATCGTGGTAGATTTTGGTGTCGTAGAAGTAAAAGTTGGGCACGTCTTTGTAGATCATCTTTCCGTACTTAATAGGACGATCCAATGGATACATCAAGTTGGCGGTGTCCATGAAAGGACCGCCTAGGCCTGGACGAGGATAAGAGAAGGTCCATTTGTCCTGTTCCATGACGTGGGTATATTTGTGCATCGGATACACCACGAAGTAGAATTGGACTGGGAAACCGTTCATGTTACCTTTAGGAAGCATCATTCTACAATTTAAAAAAAAAACTAAAATAAAGACTTCAAAAGTGATTGTTGTGATTACCTGCTGGGTAAGGTGAAATAGTTGTCTGCACCGTTTAGCATAAGTTCCTTGGTGCCATCTAAAGCATCTTGGACTTGTTTGAACATGGTGTGGAAGCTCATTCTGTCGTTACCGAATATGTGACAGTCGTTGAAGGTCCTTTCAATTGTGTTCATGCCTTTTTTGAGTGTGTATGGGAATATGTTCAACATGAAGAAGTTCCATCTAAAAATTAGAATAATATTTCTGATTTTTGGTTACCTATACCTGAAACCTACCTGTTTTCAGTAATATTGATGTATCTTCCATATTGGTCGTATTTGGGAGCAATAAATGCCTTAATAATAACTTCGGCATCCTTATCAGATTCAATGTCCATGGCGACTTTGAATGGCATGTAATTCAACCTCCTCTGTTTAACATTAATCATGAATTTGTTTTCTTTCATTTCTTCTGCCGAATAATGTACGGCTTGACTGATGTCAGTAGTGAAGTCCTCGAAGTAGGTCATAAGTTTGTCCATATGTACTTTCTTGATAGTTACTCCAGGGAAAGTTAATTCTTCCTGGGTGTATGGCATCATACGGTCTTGGTATTGATGCATGAAACCCATCATTTGTTTGTAGATTTGGTAGAAACCTGGGTCTCTCAGGGTAGTTTCAATGTGTTCCAAGACAGATGGTACAACTTTGTCTACTGTCATGGGGTTGTATGAGAATCCCATCATTTTACGGGCGTAACCTAACCATTGACCGTAATAGTGGTTGTCGATGGAGTCTGGGTTACCTTGAAGGAGGTTACCAAGCATATTGTAACCTTCCATTTTGTCGTAGAGGTCGATTTTTTTAGAGGAGTTCTAAAAGATTATTAAGTAATAATTGAGGTTTAACAAAAAAGTCTTATACTTACATCAAAAACAAATCCTCTGTCAATAGCATCAGCTATCCTCTTGACAACATCCTTGTACATGTAATAGCTGTGAGCAAAACGACTCCTCACATGTGTTCCATAAGTGTAGAAGTAATCAGATACTCTGGCAAATCTGGGCCTTTCAGGGAATGGCATGCCATTGGGGTACTGCATAAGTGGATTGAAGAAAGATTTCATTGGCATATCAAAATCTACTTCTTCAATTTGACCTAAACCATTGGAAAGACGTTCCATGTAATATTTAGAAAGCATTTGTTGGTGGATGACAAGCCAAAATTCTCCCCTGCGGTCATTTTTGATTTGGTATTTAGTACCATCCATCCAGAATGGGTAGAACAAATGGTAAGTGTAGTAGAAAGAGTTCATGCCTACATCTTCATGGTAATAAGCCATCATGGATTGGTCTGGATGTAAGTTTACTAGGCCTGAGGTGTAGTTGGAGCGGATTGTTCCGGACATGTGCTGTTGCTTCATCATGTTAGCTTCTTGGATTGTTTTAGCATCGAAGAAGTAATGAGGGTAGATTTCGTAGATTGGAGGCAAGACAATTCCGTAAGTGTCGGGTCTGTGGACGAGGGCAACGGAGTAAGCGTATAAGAACATGCCTTCGTTGACCCAGTGACGTGCAGTGATGGCGGTTTTGTAGAAAATCTCGAAATCTTTAGCGTAGTAGAACAAATCGAAGATAGCTATAGCTTGTTCCATGTGTTTGGGTTCACCAATGCAGAAAATTTCTCCTTTGGGTAGCATGTATTCGTATTTGTACATTTCTACTATTTTGTCAACTACTTCAGGATGCTGAATAACAAAAAAATTGTAATATTGTTGTTTATTGATAAATGAAAATTGCTTACGTTGAACTTATCCTTTTTCTCTTCAATGTTCCAGTTTTTGATTACTTCCATGTGTTCATCTAAGTGAAGGGGTTGGTTGATGTACTTGAAGAGGGTAAGTACTTTCATTTGCTTTTCCAAAAAAGTCTTGTCAACTGCAAAAGTGAAGTCAAATGATAATTCAAAAAAATACAAAAGTTTGATTTGCTTACCAGTTGTGTGTTTACATCTTTCCGAAGTGGACTCTTTGACTGGAGTTGCTAGCGCCAAAGCGCAACAACTCGCTAAAGCGAGCACTAGAACCGTCTTCATGTTGACTCCAAAACTACAGACGGAGTGTGCCTGCCTCAACAGACCAGCTGTATTTTATACAATTTTTTAGCTGATACCTTCAGTGACCTCTTCGATAACGCATTATTTATTTGTGCATTTGATATCAATTCAAAACAAAATATCAAACGAATTATCCAATTAGTATTTGATGTGCATTCCTGAGAGTTTTATTATTTGGAATTTTGATAAGCGATTTGAATTTTTAGACATTCTTAAATTAGGGGAATTTGATTTCTCAATTCTAGTCTTTGCGATTTACCTACGTTTCCGAAGTCCGGGATCAAAAATTTTGAACGCTAGTGCAACAATATCCTTATTTCTGCTGATATGATTAATAGTTATGAATTTCCTACTCTATAGTTTCCATTTCTGGGTTGTTGGAAAGAAAGTAATGATCCAATATTGAAATTGAACGAGAAAATCAATACAACACAGCAAAATGAAAAAAATTATCCCATGTGTCTGAATAATCCAAACTACTATATACAGAGAAATAACAACAGAATACTGAACAATCAGTAACACGAGTCCCAAAAGTTGGAAAACAATAATTAACGTCTGTAAAATTGAACACGTAAGGTGCAGATTTAATTATAAGAGACCCTAAAGAAAAACATATCTTGAGCTTGACAGCTTTAATAATTATTATTAAGTGGATCTGGCAGATTCTAGGCTTCAAACAAACAGCCTGTATATGGATGTAAGAAAAAAATATTTCCAACTCCCACACAACAATATTTTTCTAATGCTGGCTAGGCCAAAAGATGTTATGTATGCGTAAGTTGTTATTTTGTTTCAATTCAATTATATACCTAAGTTATCATTTTTATAATTCGTAGTTTTGAGAGAAGAACTTTTCGACAAGTTTTACCAACAATAAAATATAAAATAGCCCAAGATCTAACGTCAATGTAGCTTCATATATTTCAATACTCTCCCTCATTAGGTGACATTTTGGACCAAACTGAATGAAAAACTTCCTTTGGTATTGGTTTTGTCAAAATATCAGCAATATTTTCTTTAGTAGCTTAGTATGTATTGCACCTCGATATCATTTTCCATAATTCTTTCTCGGATGTAGTGATAATGAACGTCGATGTGTTTACTTGGTTGATATAATATATAATTTGTTCAATATAATTTGAAGCTTATCACATAACAACAGTGGTTTGGAATTATTGTTTGTGAGAACAAAAATCAACTGCTTTTTCCACATACTGTGTCTTTAAGCCAATGACAGTGCCATATATTCAGATTCAGTAGTCGACACTGCGACACTTTGCTGCCTTTTTGAAGTCCATGTTAAGGCTGCGTTACCATAAAACCCAATTAATCCACTACTGGATCGTCTTGTATTTGCACAGTCTCCATATGATGCATCACTATAAACATGAAATTCAGGATTTTTTGTGAAGTTATTACTTATGGAAACATTAAGGTATTTCAAGATCTGTTGAAGCATTTTCATAAGAGCTTCTGCCGGGTCAATTTGAAGCTGTGATAACTCTTGTTCACTGTATAAGCTTATAAGCTATGTCAGGTCTTGTTCTCATTGCAAGAAATAGAAGACTTCCAATCTTTGTCTGCTCTATCTGTTGCCTTTAGAGCTTTGGTAGCAGGATCCATTGAAACAGAGCCGTCTTACACTTCATCATTTTTACAAAACTTTCCTATTTTCGTATTTTTCTTGATTTAAGGACACGTCACAGATGAAGGATTTCATAAAATTTGCAGCAATAATAAAACATTTTGTTGGTTTACTATTAGATAAAATATCTTCCAGTTGTTGAACATCTTTCTCAATTTTGCCTAGTATACATAAATCATCCACATAAACTGCAACTATCTGTCTTCCATCTTGCAACAGAAACATACATGTATCCAGCTATGGATTGTTTCGGGTTTAACACTGACCAATTCATGATTCCATAATGTGGGAGGCTTTTTTTTCAAATAATAATCTCTCCTTGCCTAAACGTCAACACCTTCTGGAATTTTCATGTAAATTTCAACATTTAAATCACTAATCAGAAACGCTGTTGTGATGTCCAGTTGTTTAGAAATCGTATCATTATGCCAGAAAAATTCTTATTATTTCATATCCTACAACTGGAGAGAAGATTTCCTCAAAATCAATGCCTGGGATCTCTGTAAAACCTCGAGTCACTAATCTAGCTTTGAATAACTCAAAATGTTTTGAAAAAAACTGTATTTTTCTGAATATCTATGCTAATTACTGCTTTTTTTCCCGGCACTTGATCTGCTTGATCAGAATCAAGAGCTAGAAAAAATTAAAAATTGAAATGATCAGTCAATAAATTCATACTTATATAATTATGTCTGATAATGCCGATTTATGGCTTTCCATTGTTATAAAACAATTAAAAATCGAGAATGCTGAATTTGATAGCAAAATTCTGAAAAAGTTGCTATTGAAGATTTAATTAATCAAGTGATTATCCCTGGCACTTGATAAGTTATCAAAATTTGAACATTGAAAATGATCAGCTAATCAAATAGATTACCTCAGCTTCGTTCGCTCATCAAATCACTGATTTCTTGTGTTATTATCGTTGGAGAGAATTTTTTTCGTTGGGGCGTGAGCTTGCAATATCTTGAATACCCTTACAAAAATTCTCTAGCGAATCCAGATTTGATAAAAGTTCAAATTTTAATTATTACCGGCTCTTGATTGGCTGCAGGAAAGTTTTCCAGAGAATCAAGAGCCGGTAATAATTCAAATTTTGATTATCTGGTGGCTCTCAATCCATTGAATAATTTTTCTTGGGTTAATTAAAAACTGCGGAAGAAGAAATTTTGATTAATATCAACTTAAGAGCTGCTAATGATCATACGAAATTTTGATTATTATCGGCTCTTGAGCTGTGAATGCCCTCAGAAAAATTCTCTAGCGAATCCAGAGTTGATAAAAGTTCAAATTTTGACTATTTCTGGCTCTTGATTGGCTCTAGGAAGGTTTTTCAAAGAATAGAGAGCCGGTAATAGTTCAAATTTTGATTATCTGTGGCTCTTGATCCATTGGATACATTTTCTTGGGCCAATTAGAAGCTGCGGAAGACGAAATTTTGATGAATATCAACTTAAGAGCTGCTAATGATCATCCGAAATTTTGATTATTATCCGCTCTTGAGCTTTGAATGCCCTTAGAAAAATTCTTTTGCGAATCCAGAGTTGATAAAAGTTCAAATTTTGATTATTATCGGCTCTTAATTGGCTCCAGGAAAGTTTTCCAGAGAATCAAGTGACGGTAATAGTTCAAATTTTGATTATCTGTGGCTCTTGATCCATTGGATAATTTTTCTTCCGTCAATTAGAAGCTCCGGAAAAAGAAATTTTGATTAATATCAACTTAAGGGCTGCTAATGATCATTTGAAATTTTAATTATTATCGGCTCTTGAGCTTTGAATGCACTCGTAAGTAAAAATTCTCTTGCGAATCCAGAGTTGATAAAAGTTAAAATTTTAACTATTACCGGCTCTTGATTGGCTCTAGGAAAGTTTTCCAGAGAATCAAGAGCCGGTAATAGTTCAAATTTTGATTATCTGTAGCTCTTGATCCATTGAGGGCAATGTATCACTAGAGTAGGTACTAAAATAAGTATAGCAGTGGTGTGTTTACTATGGAAGCTAGGAAAACACAGCTTCCCCTCGATGATTTATTAAGAACACTAAACTAAACTTTATGTAGACATTTTCAAAAAGAAATATATGAAACTTGTGAATGGCTGACTGGTTCTGAAATTATAAGTCTCTCCTGCCCTGTATTTTCACCATCTTTCCCCACAGTTTTCCCGTCTGTTAAAGTCTGGACACGCCACTGAAGTACCTATAGTTAGAACTGGCAGTAATTTATCACAGGAAGCGATATTTTAAAACCAGAGGTTTAGTTTAAAATGCAACATAACAAATCTTCTTGAACATGGACAATTTTACAGCTTATTATCATTGATCATCCAAGTTATCATACAAAGAAGAAACACATTATTGAACTATTAGAGATCACTTGTAAATTATCCGTTTCTAGAATTTACTCAATGGGTTAAGGATAAGAATCCCAGCAGCAAATTTCCGCAACATCTAGAAAAAAGATCCAAAAGTAGGTCTATAAGAGATAGAAGTGGATCTAGGAATGGATGAATAGAAAGAATTGTAATAGAACAAAAAAAACCGCATATGATCCTGTCAATTTAGATAAGAAAGAACAAAAAAAGATTGGAGCTTGAAATGCGAAAGCAAGGCGGGAGAGAATCGGAAGGTGGCGAGCAGAATGAAATTAAGAAAAAAGAACAGGATGCAAATCTAATAGTAGTGAGTGAAGCACAGGAAAATTACAAAAAATGGTCTTTGGAAGATGAATCGCTGAAGATGAAGATAAAAGACGACGATAAAAGTAATATGAAAAAAGAGCAAGACTTAAAGAATTCAAAATAAACTAAAAATGAACACATGTAAATAGAAGATGTTCTATTTTTCCTTCGATAGTTTTCCAGAAAAATATTAAAATGTGATGTGGTTTGGCATTTTTGTTTTTTTTTTTCATAAATTTTTCTTGTTGCTACTTTCCGCTGTATCCAGATTCAGATGATAAGCTCCTTACTTTCCTCTTTCCATCCCAAAAGCTGCAAAATTTTCCTTAGTTTCCCGGCAACTTAACAACTCTGAAAGAAAGAAGAGAAAGAGGTGACTTAATAGAGACGTACAAGATCCTGTGTGAACACAACTTGCCAGAACTGCATATGACAGACATGTTTCAACAAAACATGAATAAAAACCTCAGAGGACACGACAAGAAGCTCAAGAAACAGAAAACATCTTTAGCGTTAAGAAAAAACTTCTTATGCAACCGCGTAGTATACCGGTGGAATGCATTAAACCAAGATACTTACTATAAACGCATCTAACAAAAACATTTTCAAGAATAGACCGGATCGAAACCTATATCTGAACGATCTGAACTTAACTCCACCCTAGTAGGTACACTACTTTTAAATCCAATTAAAAGAAACGACGC